TTCAAAATACCAAAATGTACAAATGACGTTCACAGAAAACACACAAACCCAGTTGTGGACATATATAAGGTTACAAAGCAAGAAAAAAAAAACGTACCATTCGATGCAAGTTTCCGTATTTTAATTATAAAATGAAGTGCTTTTTCACCAGCAAAAAGTGCCACCATTGTGAGAGACCAAGGTCCTTACAACAATCTAGCCGCTAAAACAAGGCTTCTGGACCAGATGAGACCCTCAACTGAGACTTGTGTTTGAACAGTGCAGCGATAGACGTATGTCTCTTGACGTTCACCTTGGTTGTCGCAGGTCTTGTGGACAGGTTTGCTGGCATTGCTGGACTACCACTAATGCGTTTTTGTGGTGCGCCCAGAAGTTCTAAGATGTCCCGTTGTTCGTCTTTGCTCAGATATTGCCATGGTCTCTTCCCACTGCTGTCCCTTATCCGCACATCAGCCTTGAACTTTTGCACCAGGAGTCGAATGAGTTTCTTATGGCCATGAATGGCCGCCAGGTGAAGTGGCGTGTAGCCACCCAAGGTCTTTGCATTGACATCCAGAGTCATCCCGACTTTGTCAACGCCGTACCACAGCGTGTTTAAGACGCGATGGTTGCCGTGTTTGGCGATCCAGTGGATGACGGTGAAGCCAGATATGAAGTCTCGCTTGCTCAAGAGGTTTGGGTCGTCTCGGAAGAGAGCGTAGATGTCGGTCCATGTGCCTGATGCCGCTTTGACAAACCAGTTGTGTTCTCTGGGGTCAAGAGGGATGGAGGAATGTTTGCTGCTGAAGGAACCATCGTGCACGGAGGTTGATAAGCTTCGCGTGGATCCAGCGGGCGATGAAAGGTCTCTGGAACTTTGTCCTCGGCTAGAGGACTGCGAGACTAAGTTTCCCATGCTTAGAGTCGAGGACAGCAGCTGGAGACGGTTGTGCCGCGCTGAGATGTTGTCCTCTGGGAACGGCTGATCAAGGTCTTCTCCGAGACTCCGACACATGCGACTCCGCAGATGGGACGTCAAGCGGCGGACGATGGGTCCGTGACGGGTCTCTGGTGAACTGCTTCGCGTAGACGCCCTCGAGTCCTCGTCGACGAGGTGACCCGTCGAGTGGTGCATGGGTGTGATGGTGCGACTCTGTTGGTGGAGTTGCGAAAGCAGTCTTGCTTCCTGAGTGCGACGCAGGAAAGTGCGTACATCGTTCCCATCTTGTCCTGGGACAAGTCCCTGGTCGCTGGAACACTCATTGCCATGCGGCCAACCGGTGTCGGGTGGAGTAGAAGAAGGGGATGGGATTGAGACGCTATCACGACTTGAGGATAGACTCGATGGGCGACGGATCTGCAGGTACGTTGCAGGATCGTCAACGAACAAGACGTGAGGCTCATATTTGTCCCGCTCCTGGATCAGAAATCCATTAAACCCTACGTTTGGTCGTAGTAGACTATCATTGCTTCGGCTTAAGCCAGCTTGGTTGTACGTCTGGGAGTGTGTGTGTGGAGAAACAGGGCGGTCCAGAAGGCAAGGTGAAGACTTGTATATGTGAGACTGTCCGAAGGTCGAGTGCAAAGGCCATTCTTTGATGTGAACGTCTGAGGTGCTTTTCCTTTCAGCGGTAAGCGACACTCTAACCTCGTAGTAAGCACAACGCGCAGGGTTGACGAAGGATTGCTCGCAACCATCTGCTTCCCTTAATTGTCTCTGTTTGGCAACATAAACACCGTTGTGCTCCAGCTCCGTTGCCTCCCTGGTTGCTTTCAACTCCCATGGCTGTTCATAGCTCTGGCCGCTCCCATTTGAGCGACTGTCCGTGTCAGATGGGGTTGGTTTCAAAGGGCAGTTGTCGTTAACCTGCTTCTCACAGGAAGTAGAGACAGAAGGTTGTTCCCTCCCATGTGGTGATGAAGTTCTGACAGCTTTCTCAAAACTGGGAGTAGAATCATTGTTATTGTTGTTGGTGAGGATACCAGCAACTGGCAGGATTTCAACGCGAGTCGGGATGGTCAAAGCAGCTTGTGGTTTCCCGCACAAGTCTCGTTCCGGCTCTCGGTTCTTGGCGACGTCTCCGAGATGCACACGGTATTTTTTCCTCAGCACGACATGAGACACCCCCTCCTCCTGCCTCACAGTCGCCACGGAGTTCACATACCTCTTAAACAACTCCCGGTTCTGCTCTCTCTGCTCGTCCTCTCGCAAAAACCGCTTGTAGTGGGTTAACAAGTCCGCGTTTCGCACCGTCCCGCCGTTGTTGATGATGAAGCGCAGCACGGAGTCTTGTGTGAAGTCGGTGGCCATGCTCGCGCCGTGTGAATCTCTCTCGTGTTATCGCGCAATCAAACTGAACTGAAGGAGCTGACAAACGGTTTCGCTTGTTGAGATTGTAACTCCGCCCACGGGTTTCTCTCAGTTCCACCTGCGTGCTGAGCTTACCTGCGTACTGCAAACGTCTAATATCTATCCATCTATGAATGCATGTATATATTTATGTATAAATTAATTTGTCTATTAAAAACTTTGGTATGAAGTCTGGTAATGACCATATTAAGTAAATCTTACTACTAAACTGCTAAAATATACTGTACAGTAAAATATGATCAAAACTTCATTTGTTTTCAAATATGTAGACTAACGTTACTATAAATTTATGTATGGATTTATTATTTATTTTGATACACAAGCATTAAGTAAGAAGTGGCACCTTGAAGTATTTGGACACATTTGAGACGATTTGAAAATGTATAAATTCCACTGCATTGGATAAAAAAAAAGTTGTATTTATTATATAGGCCTATGTAAAACAGCAGCACACTTTTCAATGAAAAGATTTCACACAATAAAATGTGTTTGTTTTAACTGATAAAATATAAGTAGGCTACTGCTCAAAACTCTTGTAGTTGAACATATTCATAATTAATGTGATGAACTACACCTGTGTGAACTTGACGATAACTGACTCCATCCACTAAAACATACATACATCCACTGAACACTGACTTTCATGCAATGAAAATATAAACAAAGTTAATGATGGGAAAAGATTCTGAAGCATTATTTTTGTTGTTTTTTATTCAATGAAATGCACCATACGAAAAAGTAATATATTACATATATTACCCTATATCAAGAGTGATATTGCCATAAGTGTTACCTGCAAGATCATGTGTAATTTTCACATATATACATTCTAGGTAAAGTTCGTAACAAAAAATGTACTTATGTACATATGTTAATAATATCTATTCGATGGTTTTATTTAGCAACCATGTCAACAATATATATTTTATATATGCAACTTTAAAACAACATATAATTTGAAAATCTGTTTATATGTTTTTGTAATAAATGTTTTAAAAACATGTGTATATTTTATTATTTCTTACATAATATCAACATGTACTGACAGGTTTCTGAATGGATATACATGTAGATGCCATATGTCCAAAAATGTATTAGACATACACTGAAAAAAAAATGATACTAACTTTTTTAAGGTAAGTGGTTGCAAACAATTTATTTTAGCTACATTTAAATAAAAAAAAATGTTGAATGTTAGTCAACTAAATTTGTTTATTTAAATGTTGCTAAAATAAATTGATTGCAACCACTTATCTTAAAAAAATTAGTAAATTCAATGAATCATTGTTTTCAGTATAGTTTATAGTTACTAGTTAAGTTACTAGTTAATATATTATTAATCACTTATAAATCATTGAAATGTCAACATTGTACTAGTTAGTCAACTAAATTTGTTTTAAATGTAGCTAAAATAAATTGATTGCAACCACTTACCTTTAAAAAATGTAGTAAATTCAATGAATAATCTTTTCAGTGCATAAATATGTAGGCTACATTTTTTTGGCTAATATATGCATATGTTAATATATGAAATTGTTCAAATTTTACATCATATATGACAATATATTTCATTAACAGAAATGTGATTTATGGAAATATTACATTTGCATATGGGCAGCCGCAGGAACATTTCACTGCTCCATCTGTGGAATTTGCTTGAACTCATGCTACCTTATTAGATAAAACACTGCAGTTGCAGTAATTCAACAAATTCTTATTTGAATAAATAGCTACATTTTCATACCTCTCTAATTCACTTGTCATTGTAGGCTTTAGATATTAAATAACCTTTTCTTTGGCAACTCATCCATCATCCATTAGCTACAGCACATAAATGGTACACCGAACACAACAGATGACGCAGAAGTCTGATCATGACCCCTCAGTTTCTCTCTTTTGTTAATGAGTGCAATGAGTCCACAGTAAAGATCTCAGGTTTCATTGTTAACAGGGATCCTTTAGCACAGCATTATTTCTCCACAAACACACAAACTCAGAAAAACGACAAGAGCAGCTCAGTAGAGATTTTCATTTATTTGAGCATTGGGAGGTTTCTCAGCAGCGGCCCGGACTGTCATCAGCACCTCAGAGCAGGAGAGAGCTTTCGGCAGGAAGGTTATGATCAGCAAAGGAATGGTGACAGCCTAAAGCTTGTTCTGTTAGTTCAGAATCTTACGCACTTTATTCTACTCATTACAACAGTTACATTACTAGGTTTAGAACAAGCGACAAACAGATCATCTACCCAAGCCACGCCATGTGTGATCTAATGCCACGAACAACACTAGCTCATCTGTAATGCTCAGTATAAGGAAGTGATAGGGACATTATCACCCTTCAAAAGCTCTCTCTCTCTCACACACACACACACACACACACACACATAATAAGCATTTTATTTAATAAAATAATATTTAAAAGCACTCAAAAGTGTCGAGGGCTGTGTTCGACAGAAAAAAAAAAAGTGAGAAAAGACAAGTGAAAGTTACAGATGAAGTCAATGACAGGAAACAATGGGCAAATACATATAAAAAGAGACAAACAGGAACAATTACCAGTTTCCACAGATGGAGGAAAAATATTTCTACTTTTTTTGCAAACATTTTTACTTTATATATAGATTTGTTTCTGCTTTTTTTAAAGCCTTTTATGTTTACGGTTATGAAATGGCATCATGCACAGAGTGTTTTTTTTGTTAGTATTTTTGGCCTCTCTCTTGCTCTGAGGTGAACCGATGAACGCGGCTGCTGCGGTTGTGTGATTGTTTAGCTGTTTCCTCTAGGTTTCTCTGACCGGTTGGAGAGGAGGGCAGGGGGAGGAGCCAGCGTTCTGCTGTGTTTCGGCCCTGCACGTGGGCGCCCCCTCCTGGGGACTCTCCTCACTGTACAGGCGCTTGATCCCGTCAAAATACTCGTCCACCTCCATGTGTTCCACCTTCCGCTTGGCCGAGGACTTGCACGCATGGGTGTGGGTGGTGTTGGGGTCAGAGGGCGCTGTCGGGGCAGGGGAGACGTGCCAGGGGGGCAGGACTCCCCCGTCCCGAGGCTCCGGGGCGTTCGGCAGGGGATGGCAGATGTACACAGTGTTAGGAGGCAGGGAAGCCATGTGTGTGGACAGGCAACGTGCAACCAGCTCTCGACAGCCAATCAGCTGAGAACTGTCGATCTGAAAGAGAGGAAACCGAAAGAAAATGATGATGATATACACTACCGTTCAAAGGTTTGGGGTCAGACAGTCTTTTATTCAGCAAGGATGCATTAAATTGATCAAAAGCGGCAGTAAATACATTCATAATGTTACAAAACATTTCTATTTCAAATAAATGCTGTTCTTTTGAACTTTTTCTATTCATCAAAGAATCCTGAAATAAATGTATCGGTGGTCCACAAAAAATACGAAGCAGCAGAACTGTTTTCAACACTGATAATAATCAGAAATGTTTCTTGAGCAGCAAATCAGCATATTAGACTGATTTCTGAAGGATCATGTGACACTGAAGACTGCTGAAAATTCAGCTTTGATCACAGGAATAAATTACATTTTACAATATATTTAAATAGAAGTCTTATTTTAAATAGTTATAATATTTCACAATATTACTGTTTTTACTGTATTTTAACAAAAATGCAGCTTTAGTGTCAAAGTGATGCTATTATAGTTTTTATTTATATTAAAATAACATATATACATATATACATATATATATATATACAGGTGCATCTCAATAAATTAGAATGTTTAACCAATAAATGCAGTGTTGGTGTCAATGAAATACAATTAGTGTTTTATTTTTATATTTTCCCTTTTTATTTCAATTTTTATTTATTTTGTATTTATTTTTTATTGTCATTTTAGTTTTAAACTAAATTAAAATGAGAAATTGCCTCGGCAACTTTTTTATATTTTATGTTATTTTATTCAAGTTACAAAAACGAATTTTGAATGGTTTTAATTTTAGTTTCAGTTTTAGTTAACTATAATAATCCTGTTACCAACCCACAACTTTTAAAAGACTGCATATAAAAGGCGGTAATGTTCAATAAAGAGTCATTCATATTTTAAAACTGTTTCAATGTTGTTGACAGTGTTAGTTACTGAACCTGTAGGTTTAATGATGCATGACACTGTAAACTTTTAAAGGTCTGTATTTTTACTTTCGCTTTGAGCTCGCTGCTGGCATTGATAACTGACTTTGCTCTGGAGAAGTGACTGACCGGGCCTCTTCTGAGTTATGATAAGAGTTAAAGAGCCTACAGAAAAACAAACATGTGAGACAGATTATACATGCTACTGCGGCTTCAACGTATAGTCACTCTGAGCAGATGAAAAGAGCCTCTGGAAGGAGGAATAATGAGATAACTGGACCGTCACAAAACATGACTGACACTGACACTGAGACCTAAAGAAAAAGTTAGAGCGACCACAGATCAATGTGATCTTCCTGAACTATTTTTTTTTATCTGTTTAATGGAAGTGTTTGAATCTGATCTCCTGATTTTCCCTCTAAAATCTTTTTCATTTTACGAAGTTCAATACACATGAACTCTTTTAATCCTATGAAGCCTGCTGTATCATATTGGAAATGCAAATTGTAAGGTCTCTAAATGATCAGACCTTTGCTGAAAAACCCAGAAGCCCCTCACTGCAGAACACAAGATCCAGGGGGCGTGGTTGGATCCACATCTAGGGAGTGGAGACTGGTAGGTTTAGGGGTGGAGATGGGTGGGTTTAGGGATCTGGGGGTGGAGACGGGTAGGTTTAGGTATATGTAAGGTGGGAGGAGTTGGATCTGGATCCAACCTCGCCCCCTGGATCTTGTGTTCTGCAGTGAGGACCATCTCGAAAAACCTGTAGCACACAATCTACTACATGCCTTCTGTTGCCTGATTGATAGTTTATACTTTAACAAGTTGAAAGCCTTAAAACTAAGCATTTAAATATCATCCAAGACATATTATTGGGAAATATGGAGTGATAACTGATTTTTATAAGCATTTTATGTAAGTAGCCTGTTATAAAGGTCTCATTGATTTACATCACAAACGATCAGAATCACAGGCTTCACAGGTTTAAAAAGCACCGTATATTTCCCAGATGAACACTGCAATCATCTCAAGACTAGTTGGACAATTTGGAGCCACTGAGCTTCATTAGTTCTCACCTGTAATTTGTGCAACAGGTCGACAGTGAGAGCGAGCCAATCAGGACAGAGTTTCTCCAGCTCCAGCGTGATGAGGCCGAGGGACAGCAGTGAGCCGCGCACCGGCAGCAGTGCATTGTGGGCCAGACAGTGGAAGAGCTGCTGGGTGAGCAGAGCCACGTGCTGAGACGGGTTCAGAGCCGACAACGCCATGTTCAGCCGCCCGGACTTACAGCTCAGAACCATCGCATGGAACTATAGAGAGATGAATAAAAATCTATATTTTTGGATCTCAGCACTTAATCGGGTGAATTGGCAGTCCTTCAGCACCCACATGGAGAGCCAAGCTATTAACAGCAACCTCAATATGCCAACAATGAGGATCCTTCCTCAACACACACACACAAAAAAAAAAGAAGCACATTTATGCCATCTAAATTCATTCCTCCTAAGAGTAGCAACAACATCAATCTAATTTTTGCTCAACGTTTTTTTGTTGTTGTTGGTTTACTTGAACATCAATACAAATTCAGACAATGCAATTAAGAAAAATGTAACAATTTTAGACGAAAACCGATTTCTTGCAATAAATCCCATATTCAGATCCCTAAACCTTCAACATAAGCAACAGTAAGATGTTTGCATTAGCAAAAATGTTTAACAATTCTTTAGTACTTCTGTAAATTAGCATAGTGTTCTATGAATTAGAATATCTAAACTGATATTATCTAATTCCAATATGAAGCTCGTTAGATATCGCTACTGTAAAACACCAATCATGGCAGAAATGAATAAGGTCATGGTGTATATGGTGACAATGCATAGGTTTGGTGAAGTTAACATCAGTTAACAACTTTACCTAACAAAAACTAACGTATACATTATTATCTTTTTTTGAGAGCGTTTGTTTGCACTATTCCTGAAAGACGTTTTCTGTCAGATTTTAAATAGATCTTTACAAAATGTCTTTAAGATGATTGATTTAGATTGACTGGAAAACATCTTCTGTATAAAAAAAACTGTTTTACATACAAAGCACTTTTAATACTTATTTTAATAATCTTCGAGATGTATGCATGCTATCTGTGGACAAACTTAGCCAAACCTCCATTCAATTACAGGTACTGTCAGAGAGCACTGGACATGTGAAAGGAGAGTTCAGTGTCTGTATGTAGAGCTGCAAAGTTTGCATATGTGTTTGAGAGGAAGTGCACTCACGATGTAAAGGAAGTCCAGTGCAGTGGTGGAGTGCAGGTCCCAGTTCAGCTTATCCAGAACAATCCTCTCCATCCGCAAGATCTCCGACGGAGAACAGCCACATTTGCTGCTGGACACCAGCTCTCTCAGAGACGGGATATGCTGCAAAACACATATTATATTAGCTATTTATGTTAGGTTGGATCTATAAGTAGGTCCAACTTTATCTGTATATATACAGTATACATGTATTGAGTTATATATACTATATAGCAAATCTCAACTTGATTGCTTGTATCATCACAAAATGTGAACTATAGTATTGCATAATATTTACTGCAAGTCACTCTGAAACAATGTGTACTGTGAAAAGCATTATACAAATGGATTTGACTTGACATTAAAAGGTTATGCAGACAGAAACATTCACAAAAATAAAAAACTAATCTAATCTGAAACCTAATAGTTAAATAATGGCAAAACTTAGGAACTAAATTATAGTAACTGCTTAACTATGTTTAAGCCACATCATGTGGTCAGCTCTAGCCAGAAATTACTTTAAAGGGCTGCCAGGAAATAATCGGATTAAATATCAGTCCAACTTTGGCGTTTTAAGTAGAAGCCAGAAGTACAGAAATCTCAGTCGTTATATTTCTACAGATCATTTCTCACTTCATGAAGCAGCTGAAGGCAATGGTTGTCATCCTTCAGCCTCAGTAAAGGACGCTTTTACTGAAGGCTCATCAAACTGGGGCTGATTTTAGACTTGAGACATCAGAGATGACACCATCCAGGGTCACCGTTTCCCACAGCAAAATTTAACTTATGCTGCATAAATAAAGCCACAGAGACCCGCGACGACCGATGCTGACCATGAATCTACTCTGTTGCTTCTTAGAATAACAGACATTGTACATTATACAGCATATTAATACTGCATTCACCTCATCTTCCTCACTGGTCTTAACAGCCAGGAAGAAACAAGAGATGGCGATACAGCGCAGGTACTTCGGGCGGGCCTGAAAAAGAGAGAGAGAGTGATCAATAACGGTACTGCAGTACTGCATCTCGTGCACTTTTATGCCACACCAGCAAATGGCAAATGTTTCTCACACACGCATGCATTTCCTGTGTTTATTTCCTGTTCATTTAAATGCCAAGGCACAATAACTAATCAGATCTGCAATGACTGACACGTACTTGCAGTTTCAGTTTCTCTAAAAATAAATAAATAAAATTCTAGAATTGTCCCTGTAACCCTTTCGATGTGCTAAAAGAACATGGCAAAGAGCAAAAAACATCCAATGTTGTATAATAAAACAGCTCAGCTAAATAGTGACCTAACTTTCTGTAACGCTTACCATTACATAACAGTCAAAGTTCTATAATAGAGCAAAATAATGTTCACTGCACACAAACGTTCACTGCATCTCAAAAGCACTTATGCTAATTATACAAAAAATTATAACTTTAATTATTATGCAGCATGCATACATTTAAATGCATAACATGCATAAATTTAAATGCATAAATTACAATGCATAACATGCGCAAACTTGAATGCATAAATTATAATGCATAATAGCCACAATTTAAATGAATGAATTATAATGCATAAATTACGATGCATAACATGCACAAACATATAAATGCATAAATAGTATACTGAATAACCTCCACAAACTTAAATGCAGACATTATAATGCATAAAATCCTACATTTAAATGCATACATTTTAATGCAAGCAATGCATACATGCATAAATATAAATGCATACATTACAATTACATCATATACAATTTATCATGCCATGTATAAGCTGAACTAGTACACAGGCTTGAACAGAGGTGAAACACAGAAAAGAAGGAGAGAGTATTATTATAACTGTTTTTAAAAATAGGTGTTATTATGTGAAGTACCTATCATGGGCTGCAATTAAGCCAGCCAACACACGGCTAAAAGCTGTTATGGACAGCTGGATAATGGAAAACGCCATAAGCCCACAATCATTGACTGGGGCAGAAGACCTTGACCGGTCAGACGTTTTTAAACATTACCTTAACGGCAGAGAGGAAGCGATCCAGGATGCAGATGGCCAGGCAGAGGGTCTCTGGATAGAGCTTCAGTTGGGAATGAACATCCCTCAACCACCGGACGGCCTCATCATGCTTTTCAGGGGAAATATCTGTATCCTGAAGAAGAAAAAATGCATTTAATTAGATACATAACATACAGGTTTGCATATGCACTAATCTAAACTGGAATTACCCAAATCGAACCCCTTATTATTGTCTATTCGATCAGACTCAGATGCACAGACATTTATTAATAATAATAATGCATTTTATCATTAACTACTACCCCAAATTAAACCATATTATTTTACTTCTACTTTTTTTTTTAATTGTCATTTAGTTCAACATGATATACTAAACTTACTAAAACTAAAATAAAATTAACAAAAATTACATAGAATATTTAAAAATGAAAACTAAAAAAAATGACAAATACACCAAAAATTTATAAAACTTCAACTAAAATTAAATTGAAACATAAAATATAAATATAAAAATCAAATTAATAAAAAAAATTTTAAAACGAATTTACACAAAAGTATAAGAGTATCTCAAATATACTAAAATAGCATTGATGACCTACAATAAAACGGCCCGGTTCCCGTCAGGATAGACTTGGATAGCAGACCTCTGACACAGTTTCACACACAACTGCACCATAAATAGTCATAATACACAGACAACTACATCTAGAGAGAACACAGCATCATAAAATTGTACTAATCCCAGTGTCTCACTGTTTATCAAATTACAGATTTACATACAGCAAATCACACACATTCTGCAGCATCGTAAGAGACCCAAATTAAAGGGTTAGTTCACCCAAAAATGAAAATTGGCTTGTGTTTTACTCACCCTCGAAGCATCCTAGGTGTATATGACTTTCTTCTTTCAGACGAATCCAGTCGGAGTTGTATTAAAAATTGTCCTGGCTATTCCAAGCTCTATCATTGCAGTCAGCGGGTGTTGCAGTTGAACAGTGCTCAAGTCCTCAAATAAAGCGCGCGCATTCATAATAAACGTGCTTCACACGGCTCCGGGGGGTGAATAAAGGCCTTCTGTAGTGAATCCATGCATTTTTGTAAGAAAAATATCCATATTTCAAACGTAATAAACACTTTTATATCACTTCCGTCAACTGTCATAAGCGGAAGCCGTTCCGGCGGATGACGTAGCACGTCGGCATTGCGTGATAGGTGACCAATGCGGAGATACAACAAAACAAAACGCCGGTCAGGAATTAGAAGTACAAACCAAAGATTTGCAAAGACAAATGTCGGAGGATTTCGATATAAGCCAAGAGGAGACTGGTTTTCCTTTGCTAAAGAAAGGAAACTTTGCTTCCTTTGCTCCTATAAACAAACTCGTGAGACTAGCGTATCTCAGAGGCGCGCGCGCTGCGCATACGTCATACACCTTCCGCCGGAACACCTTCCGTCTACGCTTCCGCGTATGACAGATAACGGAAGTGAGAGAAAAGTGTTTATTACGTTTGAAATATGGATATTTTTCTAACAAAATTCATCTCCACATAATAATGATAACAGTATATTGCAACATAACTATTCTTATATGCACATTGGACTTACACAGAAACTACCTTAATTTATCTGCATAGCAATCTGTCTCCCACAATGTAAACCAAACAAACCAGCGCTATCAGCTGACAGACTCACCTGGTTGGTAGGTTTCTTTGGCACGTAAGCCTTCCATAGTTTGGCTTCCCTAGAAACGGCCTTCTCTAGAAGAGATGACAGCTTCCGGCTTTCCAGGGGCAGGGTGAACTTCATCACGAACCCTGGAAAAGCCTACCTCCCCACTGGATACAGCTACCTGAGCGCAGAACACACGGAACATCTCAAAATAGATCAAATATAATGTCATACATCACAAGGGATGTCTGAGCTGCCTTGGGAATTTGATTTATTAAGTCTATTTTTCATCACAGTTCTTTATTTTTCTTGGTTGTCCAACCTGCTTTAAAAATATATATCATATATGTACTAACTACAACATACATAAAATGTATTATATATAATTTAACTTAAATATAACTATATATATATATATTTATAATAGTAAAAACAGTAATGTTATAATATAAATACAAATATTATTGTATTATATGATACATTGACATTCCTATCGATACTGGTTATGATTCAAACATAATAATCATTTTAATTTCATTATTTTAATTCAACAAACTCAAATCAAAAATACTTTACGTTCAAAAACACAAAAAATATTGATAAATCACCTCTGATCTGATGATCACGATTTCACGTTATTTTAATTAAGAATGAGAACTGATTCATCATCCTATTCATGCTATAGATGCAATATGGTGTATAAAAGAATAGCACCAGTATTGTTTAGTGTAAACAATGACATTAAACACCAAACCCCACACCACCATCTTAATATGAAATGTTGATAGTGTTGACGCAGTTTACATTTGGTACGTGTTAGCAGACTAGCTAGACTATACAGCAACAGATCAATATACACGCAATCCCACACACCTAGCTACACCGAAAAGAAAAACAGTATATATATGTCCAGTGTCGCTGGTTTAATGAGGCTAAATGGTTAAATATGTCCATAAAAGGGGATTCTTACCTCCCCTGCAAGGTTGTGGGAAACGCAGATCATCCGGTCCATTAAACTGAGGTAAAATAAAGCAGCAAATCGGGTTCCGTCATCTTTTTAAGCGTCCAGCTTCGCCTCCATGTTTGCCGTGAAACTTGATGGGGGTTTTAAACACTAAAAGGGATCCTTCCAAACTGATATTAAAAATAAAATGAACGGAATATAGACACGAACGTCTACTTCCGAGGAGGAGACCGAGAAGGGAAGAACCACCTTCCGCCGACCTCCTCACCGCACACAGACAGCTACACAGAGAACCTTTTCTTACGAATTAAAAAAAGAGCAAGAAAATTTTTAAACGGTTAAAAATGCTAGAAAGTACATTTAAATGTAGGTCTAGTCGGAGGTTTCATTTTCAACGGATTTTTTTGTGAATTCGGTAACTGTCATAACGGAACTACTTAACCTGTCGAATGGATTTTGGAGTGTAGCTCGTACTGAAGTAGAGGGACTACTTTCACATGCAATCCTATTCAGGGTCTCGAGATGACACAGACATACATAAAACATCGTACAAAAGAGATATTAAAAGGATTAAATGTCTGAATAAATTAATTATAATACTTTTAACATCTAGATATTTTTCCTTCGCGGATTCTAAGCTTTAAAAATGTATTATATAAATTTCGATATTTTATTAAACTCGATGTGATCTCTTGACCTAAAGGAATATTCTCGCCTCTCACACGTCAGTTTAATATAACAACCGAATCAGACTTCACTACATATCAGATCTGTTATAATATTCAGCTAAAACGTCGACAACACATGTATAATTTAATGAATATTGAATAGAAAAAGAATGGTGTAAGAGGAAAACACAGAAACTGTTATCAAGAAATCAGCATCTGAGAAAAGAATGCATTTGTACTATATGTTCTACCCCCTGGCAACCGTCACAAAACCCAGCAACAACCATTCTCAGAGAAGGGCGGGCTATCGGTTCGCTAACCAATCGTCGACGTCTACATGAAAACCAGCAGCCAATGAGCGCTGAGAATTTTGGGCGGACTATTTGAACGCTCCATCTTCGAGCGATCCTATTGGTCCGTAAGACTGTCAATATCTTACAACACAGAACGCTTTAAAACTACGCTTGTGTGTTTTAATAGCCGAAATATTTTAAAACAGATATGACATAACGAGAAGACATGATAAAATACACTTAACTAAATATAGAAGTGATAGCAGGCGTTCTAAAACTCATAAAACTATCTAAACAGAGCGACTTACGTTTCCTACGTGACAGGCCCAGGGGGAGGAGCTACATTCAACATCAACAAAAGGAAAGAGAAGCAGAGAAAACAGACGAAAGATTCTCGGATACACAAACACAATATGCCCTTTTAACATCCCTGGTAATGTACCTTTATTAACCTTCTATAAAATATTTCTTTCCTTTTAAATTGTCTATGTAGATGAATTGTCACGGTTTAAATGTTATGGTCGTATTTCTTTTTTTTTTCCTGAAAATGGGCTTGATCTTTGGCTATGCTTGTATTTATGGACTAACGTTAGAATTTGACGAAGTAATTTGTGTTTCCTTTCGACTTTAATGGTATTTTATGACATTTTATCGATCATTTGTGTATGTCACTAATGCAAATTATAGATTTATTTTACTGGAATGACCGAATCCCTTGTTATTTTTGGTCGTCTTTAATGTTTACTTTCTAAGCCAGTAACGTTACATTTGCTATTTGAAATAAATTTCCGTATAAATTTGAGTCGAGCCGATTGATCAGTTTAACGTTTCAGCTCCCGAATTATTATACTGTAATATACAAATATAATTTAATGTCGAAAACAAACTGTACAGAAGATTTAAACCCCTCCCCCTCCAGTCGAGGTATTTTCCAGCTGAAGAATCAACTGGACTCCACTGAATGACATTCACTTTCGATCCAGTTTTAACCTCGTTATTTAGCTCAAAGCGATTTAAAAAGGACGATTTCACATTTATTTGTCCATCTCAGTCGGAATGGGTCGGGCTTATTTGTTTGGATGTCCTGTAGGAAGGCGTTAACCAGCGAAACCCGACACCGAGGCTCAGCTGAGCGGAGGGGGCTGGGCAAAACCTTGACCCACTGCCCTGTGTTAACGGAATTTACTTAACTTTGCTTTTCTATGCCTTTTTAAAGGTGTTTTGACGACTTGAAACACAAATAAAGTGAAAATATGGAGGCATTCATACTGATGAAAGAACTGAGGAGCAATCTGGACCAGGAGGTTCAGTATCTGCCGAAGGAAACCGGACTCAGTTTGATTGAATCCACACAAGAGGTAAGCTAGTTTTACAAATTTCTGTGAAAATACATTTACAAACTTCATTTGAAAACATAAATAACAGTTATGGGAATTTGCACTGTATTTCTGTACATTGCATACTGTAAAAAATACTTTTTGTGATGTAACGTTGCATGCAAAACAATCTTTGGTTACACTTTACTTGAAGGGGTGTGCATAAGACTGACATGACACCTTTATAATCATGACATGACAACTACATAATCATGACATGACATGATGATTATGAAGGTGTCATGTCAGTCTTATGCACACCCCTTCAAGTAAAGTGTTACCCAATCTTTTACTCAAAGCATCTGTTACTTAATTTCTCCTCATCCACTCAGAACGGTAATGGAGTTTCAGCCAAATGTCGAGATGCTCGAGTGGAAGATCTCTGGAGCTTGACCAGTTTCTTCGGTTACAGCACTCAGACCTTTGTACTAGCTGTTAACCTGCTGGACAGGTTTATAGCTATGATGAAGGTAACCACTAGTTATAAGTCAATCCATCTGATTAACGTATTAAAACGTGTTATGACTGATCGCTTTTATGTTGCCTAAAGGTTCAGCCCAGGTATCTGGCCTGCATCAGCATCGGTTGCCTTCATATCGCCGCCCGAGTGACCGAAGAGGAGTGCAATGTTTCATCCAGCCATGAGCTCATTCGCATCAGCCAGTGCAAGTTCACCGTCTCAGACCTCAGCCGAATGGAGAAGATCATTTCAGAGAAGCTCAACTTCCAGTTAAAAGCCGTCACAGCCTTAACCTTCCTGCATTTGTACCACGCCATTGCACTTTCACACACGTCCAACAGGTAAGAATGGCTGGCATTATCAGACTTCAGACTCTGAGCCAGATAAACTCTATTAACATGCAGGCTCGACAATGGAAACTTTGACTTGTAAAGGTTGAGAAACAGAGCTGGCAAGTGCACTTTGCTGTATATGGGTCACAGTGACGGCAGAAACTAGGAGATTATCTTCGGACTAGACTTGTTAAATTTGTCAACAAAATCTCTCTTAATGCACCAATTCTTTTTGTCCTTTTCAGAAAAGACGTCCTGAATCTTGACAAACTTGAAGCCCAGCTGAAAGCCTGCCTATGCAGAATTGTTTTCTCCAAAGCAAAAGTAAGAACAACTTAAACAGTGATTCTTGAAGCAAGTTGCATAGAAGTTTGCATTCTGATGAACTCTCTTTTTTTAGCCTTCGGTGCTCGCTTTGTCGCTCTTGATGCTTGAGATCGAGGCCTTACAGTCTGCGGACCTGCTAGAAATCGGCCAGCGCATACAAACACACTTGAAGGTAAAAATTCATGTCAACCTTTTTAAACACCCCTGAGCATCAATAAAACCTTTTTAAAAGTGAAGAAAAAATTCATATGTCAACCTTTTTAAACACCCCTGAGCATCAATAAAACCTTTTTAAAAGTGAAGAAATGAAGTTAAATGTCACAGGCTGCTCTGTTTGGTTCTAAGTCAAGAAGTTTAATCAGACAATTTGTAGACAAAAATATACCTTTCGTTTCAGCAGCACTTAAACATCTATGGAGTAGGAAGAATCCAAAGCTCTCAACCCAGTCCTGTTGCCAGCAGGCTATTGGTTTACTCCTGTCCAAAATGAGGCTGGCTCTCTGCCCTGTCCTTATGTAAGCTGGTGTCTAATGCAGCCGTGTCTGTTTGCAGATCTCCAAGGCTGACCTAGCGCGCTGGCGAGGTCTGGTAGGTCAATGTATGAGGGAATACTCCTCTCCAGAATGTGCCAAACCTGACCACAAGAAACTGGTGTGGATCGTCTCACGGAGGACGGCACAGAACCTGCACAGCAGCTACCGCAGCGTCCCTGAGCTGCCAACCATCCCGGAGGGCGCGTGGGACGAGAGCGAGAGGTAAACACAGCTCACCTGAGGAAAAACACAGATGTTAGGATGACACACTCGTACTAAACAGTCAATAGAGGCAGAACGGAAAGGAATATTTGGGGTTAACCGCATACAAATGGTTTTGGTCAAGCTTTGATTACCACAGAAAATCATTTAGACTCCTCATTCAGTTTGTGAAAACAAGCAAAATTCAGTTGTGTTAGCAGTGGATGTCTAAGGGGCAAATGTATTAGTCAAAATTAAACTAAATTTAAAGCCATTAAAAATAGTTTTTTTGGTAATTGGAATAATGTTAAATATAAGATGACATTAAATTGGAAAAAAAATGAAAAACTTCAAACTTATTGGATAATGCAATATTTCTTTCTGAACGCCCCACCCAGTGTTGCACTATCAGGTGTCCTTACAGTGTTACTTGATAACTATGAATAGTTAGTCACGTCCTAGCAACCAACCCGAGAGCGTTTTTCTCACAAGGAGCAATAATTAATTCCTGAGGCTTACCAACACAGCTGATTACAAGCTGAAAATCCAGACAGGACGTACTGTTTTGAGATGGCTAATGGCTTAAATATGCATACACGCCAAACTAGGTGCAGCAGTGGAATGTGGGTAGTGAATAATGACTATTTACAAACAGGTCACAGGTTGTGCTGCATCACCTGTGAGTAAGAGAAGGGCGAGCGAGGTGGGGTCAGTTTGACAAAGTACAAAACAAGATCTGACATTTGACAGTTTTCCCCCCCCATTACGACTGAGTAATATTCCAGGTGAACCGCATACATGATTTCAGTCAAGCTTCATTACCACAGATAATCATTTAGACTTTAGTTTGTGGTAGGGCTGCATGATAAATCGCATGTGATTGTCATGCGCATCTCGTCAGTAAAGCCGGTTCTGTGATTAATAGTAAATCTCCATCACGTGCTTTCAGATGAAGCGGCATTTAATACACAGAGCCGTAGTTCACTGACAAGCTACGCAATATCACATTCATAATCGCAGATGAATCGCATTCAATTATGAACGCGATATTACGTAGCTTGTCCGCGAACTACGACTCGGTGTATTAAATGCCGCTCCATCTGAAAGCACGTGATGTAGACTTACTACTAATCACAGAACCAGCTTTACTGATGAGATGCGCATGACTATCACATTCGATTTATCGTGCAGTCCTAGTTTGTGGACAAAAAACTTATGTTTACAGTGGATGTCTATGGGGCAAATGTGTAAGTCTAACTAAACTACTAAAAACAAAACAAAAAAAAAACCTAAAATGATGAAAAATAGTTTTTGTTATTTGAAATAATGCTGAAATAAAAAATATAAATATTAGATGAAAAACTTGATTAAACATTAATATCAGCACAAAAAAAAATAAAGTACTAGAATTACTAAAATAAAAAATAATTTAACATCAACAGAATTTTTTTTTTTTTTTAAACGAAATAGTAAGTTAAAATTCCTAACTGTTTACTACTAAGTTTAAGGACTTTTACTAATTAAGTTTACAAATTGATTACTAATAAGTTTAAGGACTAAAATGGCTAAAACTGAAAAAAAAATTAACAAGTAGAAATGTACAAAAACAGGTTTAAGTTCTAAAATGACAAACTGAAATACAATAAACAGTTTTACTTAAATAGAAATAAACAAAAATGTTTATGTACAAAATGAAAATGAAAGTTAACTAATAAAAATATATATATATTAAATACTAATAAAAGAAAAACATAAAATTACTAAAACAACCCAAATCTGAAATTAAAACAGAAAATATAAAAATAAAAGCCCATTCAAAATATTAATATTACTATAATAGTATATAAATACTAAAATAACACTAAAATACAATATTCTTTTATGAATTTGTGTCAAATAATTAAATAAATGAGCGCATCTGACTGTTGTTGTTGTTGTTGTTTTTTTTAACGACAGTGAGGATTCAAGCGAAGACCTGAGCTCCGGGGAAGAGAGTCTGAGCAGCTCACTGGGCAGCGACGCCGAGGGGCCCTACTTCCCCCCGAACTTCCGCTCCCGTGCCCACAGACAGTAATACGCTCTAAACCACTTGCCAAGGAGCACAACCACCAATGGAGATGTGGCTTCCTTGTCATCTTCCAAGATGATGTCACAGACCTCTCCTGGCTGGAAACCTAAAGCTATACAGCGAGGTGCCATTGTGCCGGAGTTCGACGACACCACCGAGTCCAAAATATCAGAATTGTATTTTAAAACTCTTCTGTTATGGCTTTACACAAAGCCAGTCCAAATACTGTAAACATCTCTCTTGATTACTCGTGTTAAGCTAAAAGTGAAATAATTCAGCACTGCAAAACACTGGCAGCTAAAAACTTAAAGAAAAAAAAAAAAGATGTAGCCGTAGCATATATATAGTAGTTGCATGTTCGGATTTGTCAGCATTCCAGGCGACTCAATATGACATATCCAAGGTACACTAGACTGTTAGGAAACAACTTGAGACTTGTACTTTGGTGCTTTGCACAGTTTTGTAATATGATTGTAAGCGTGTGACAGCGGGAAAGCTGCGTGCCTGCAGAACTGCCGCCTCTCTGAGGTCAAACAGTCAAGAGATTTACTGTGGTGCGCATGGTGTTCGCAGAAAAACTGGATTGTATATTTTTCGTGTGTGTATGTGAGTGTGATGTTGTTAACCTACTTGCCAACTTAGTACAAGTTTCACTTTAGCCGATATATGAAGACAAATACTGTACGTTGAAAATGTGCAACAAAAAAGCCTAAAAAACCTTATTCAATATAAAAAATGTACATTTGTATAATGTAAAAAAAAATGCATATACGTTCTGTATAGCATCTTGTAGATATTAACTTATTTTTGACATGGTAATATAAAAAAAAAACGTTCACAGTTAAAAAAGCTATTTTGAAATTCACTCAGTCTCCTGTTTTGCTTAGTCTGGTTTTCCTGAATCAGTTCTGTGCTCCTATGAGCCTCAACTATCCCACACACATAGAAAATGGCCAACAGACAGCAGATGTTGTAAATCGCCTCAGTGCCGCAGGATATTTTACACAGTAACAGTAAGACATAGCAGCGGATTCATCACGCAAGAGCCTTCGTCAACAACAACGTCATGATGTTATCAGCTGATTTACACACTTACAAACAACCAGTGCATGATGCAACTCTGCCCAGTGTGATGCGATTTCAGCTTCCCCAAAAACAGGAACTCGTTCTTATGAGAAACCAACAACCAGTGCATGTCTAGGCAGTCAAAGGCTGGAAACAATCTTTCTGTTCCCTTATAGGAACAGGTGGGCAACATGCCATAAAAATACCAGAGGATCAGTTTCATTACACACAATGCACTACATACTGATGACATTTTGAATGAGAACACTAGAAAAACCACACAGCAAGCATTTGAAGATTTTTTTGAAAGCCAAAGTAATAAACTTAAAATAACAATCGAGATATTCATAATGCCTCGGTTTTCCTCTATAGCCATTATACAAGTTATGTAAACGCATACATCAAGTGAGAAAAGCAAGCGGACATTAACTATGCTAAAGACCACAAGCACGCTCTAATTGGTTCAAACAGTAAGCATTTGTTATTCATTACAAACGCACAAATATATGTGCAGTTCCTCACACACTCTCACTACTGGCTCAAGTTTCTCGCTCAAACACATCCCGCGCCTCTGTACAGTACCCAAACACTCGACACCGCACAAAAACTAGGTCACTTGCCTTGCAGCATTCCTTGTTCGGAGGCGGATCTTTAGAAGCCCATCCGAGACTTCTTCTTTGGCTGGGAGGCCTGAGAGAGGCTTCTGAATTGGGGAACTCTCTGGGAATGCAAGGAACGATGAGATGAAGGAGTCGGAGAAGAAAGGCGAACCCGAGGTGAAGAATATTCACCATCCGGTGCGGAGTCCAGAGTCGATATTTGGGACGTGGGAAGGGAACTAAGATAAAACTCCTTGAGCTTTTTCGATTGGACAGTTGTTGGCCGTGTGGAGGGGAGCGAAGCAGGAGGGCCCAAATCTATCCCTGCTGCAACACTAGGGGTTCTAGAGGTCGGTCGTTCAACCTGAAAGTAAAGATGAACAACGTATCAAAAGCACTGTTTAAAAACATTGCGATCATCTGCTGAGAGTACACATATGACATTATAAATACAGTATTTTGTTTATACGTCAAGATGAAATAAGCAAAAACATCACACAAAAAGTCACACACAGGCATGTTTTTGCTTATTCATGAAAATGGCACAAAATATGATCCAGATTAAACAAGCTCAAACACAAAGTAAACACGGTCCAAAAACTTGAAGTTTTATGATGTTTTGACACATTTTGGTGTAGATCATTGTATGTTTCTGTTATTCCATTGTTTTGCGATCCGTTAAAACGATTTATCAGGATAACCATAAATACTCAAAAGTTAAAGGGGGTTGGTAAGATTTTTGAAAGAAGTCTCTTTTGTTCACCAAGGCTGCATTTATTTGATCAAAAATGCAGTAAAAACAGTAACATTGTGAAATATTATTAACATTTTAAATAACCATTTTCTATATTAATATATTGTAAAATGTAATTTAATCCTGCGATGCAAAGCTGAATTTTCAGCATCATTACTCCAGTCTTCAGTGTCACATGATCATTCAGAAATCATTCTAATATGCTGATTTGCTGCTCAAGCATTTGCATTTCTGATTATCAATGTTGAAAACAGTTGTGCTGCCTTTTATTTCCAAAAAATCTCCGTAACATTATAAATGTCCTTACTGACACATTTGATTATCTTAACGCATTCTTGCTGAATAAAAGTATTAATTACTTTAAAAATAAAAATCTTACTGACCCTAAATGTTTTAACAAATGGACAATACAATTTATGCTAGTTTAATGTCATTCATTTCTCATTAAACCAGCATAAAATCGGACAGTCACCCTCATTCAAGAGAATAATTTTAATTGATCAGTTTTTAAATGTATTTTTTTCAAAAGTCAAACGATCAGTTATAGGCATCACCACAAATAGCTATAAATGATAATTTATCACATCAGTATCGGCTTTAAAATTCCATTAAGGAATCCTTACCTGAATGGAAGACTGAGATTTTGACGGAGATGTCAAAAGGTTTTGATCAGGCCTTGGAGGAGATTTTCTAGGAGATCTGAAAGCTTTTTCTGCAGTCGATTGTTCATTTAAAAACCGTCTCAGTATTATGGGGCTCTTTCTGTGAATCTCAGGTCTGGCTCTCCATTCCTCCATGTCCGTAGCTTGCGAGTCTGAGTTCTCCAAAGTCTTGTCATCCAAACCCAGACATTGACTCTCCCCCGATGACAAACCAGAGAGACTCTCTTGGTAACTCACAGACGAGGTGAAGCTTCCAGAAAGTGAGGTGCGACTGTGAGATTTGGCCTGCTTCGCTCTCCGACGCTTTCGACGGAGAGCCGCGATTTTCTTGTCCTGGTTCAAACCCAGCTTCTCCTCCCACCAGTATGTCCACTGGCCCTCCCACGACGCAGTCAACCGCTGGCTCACATCGTCAGGCCAGTCATCGGCATCTACAGGATCGGGAACCGGTGTAACGTTCAGGTGAGGGAGGTAAGTGACCCCATGCAAGAGCATCTCTTTCTTCCTCATGACCTCTTGAAGGTCTTTCCTCAGTCTCATCAATTGATCTTCCTTTGGTTTATTCAGCTTTTTGCCCGTCATGCCCTTTAAATGATCCGTTCTGATCCGCCGAAATTTATGGTGTCGCTTTTTGGCCTCAGCCTTTTTGAAAATGGGCTTAAACCATTTGTTCCAGGCAGCTTGGAGATCTGGATCCTTGCTTGGGTTGGGCGGTCTGGTGGAACAAGTTGGGTTATTCCCAATCGAATTGAAATTTTCATTTGTATCCAAAGTGTTTAAGTCATCATTATCAACATTGTCAATTACTTCCAAATGACGAAGCGCCGCCTGCCGTCCCTCAGTCTCAGAGTCGCTCCGAACAGATTGGTCGTCATTGTCGGACTGCATGTTCTCGCTCTCTCCAGTTTCTACTGTAGGTTGCACACTGACAGATTGTTCTGGTGCATCGTTATTGCTTGCGGTCTGATCCATGTGCAACTTCAGTGTTTGGTAAAAGATGTCTCCGGTTTCTGTGAGCTGGAAAACAGACAGGTAGTCCTTCTTCTGTACAGCTGTGAAACCTGAGGAAGAATGTGAAAGCAGCACATTAGTCTGATAATCACTGCACCAAATGATCGAGTAGGGCTGTTTGAATAATTGAAATAAAACCAAAATCACAAAGGCTGTGATTTAATTAAGTTAATAGATGCACTGCAAGTTTCAGAGTGAAGCACGGCACTGTGTTGTTTTACACGCGAGCAGCTCATGATCCAGTGTTTTCAGTTTCTCAGAGCGGCTTGGTTCGCAGTCAATGCTGCTCCACAAACTCCATCTCTGCATCTGCTGTGAATTTTGGTCACATATAATGTGCATTTGATAACACAACATATGCCAAACATCCTCTCCATACTTGTGCTGAGAAGTACTGGATGTTGTGAACAAACAAGAGGTTTTAAGGTTTTCCACCAAAATAAAAGCTTGATGGTTCAACATTAGAAAATTAAGACATATATAAATCGTATGAAATTAAAATTATTTTCTTAAACACTCTTTATTTTACAGTGATATTTCCTATTTTTTTGTTTAATTTTTTATTAATAATTATCATAAATATTAATACCATTTTTTATTATTTAATAGTAATATTGGTATACAAATCACAAAATTGTTGGCCAAATTGTGCTGCCCTACAAACAAGCAGTTTTTGTTTATTTATTTTTTTTAATTGCAATCTTGTCAGAAAAATCCCCAAATTGTGCCGACGTATAATAAAAGTTAATCTGGAACCTTTTTGCACATTTTACTGTGATCACATGACAACCCCAGCTAGAGTTAGGTGGTGTTACCATCAGTTTGCTTGTGATGGAACAGGAAAGCTTAGCAATCCCACTTTACCCAGTGTCTCATTCAATGCACCAACGATTAATTGACAAAATTAAAATTGACCTAATTTACAAACTACAGTCATATGAATTACTCTACTTCTGGTTTTGTCAGCTCTTTAATAAAGCAATAAATGCAAAATTGGTTATTTGCTTTGACTGACAATTATTTCATAGAGTAAATACTTAATTCTAGTCAAAACTGTTGAAATGGTTGTAAAAGCATCCTGACCTGCAGCAGGCACATTCAGTCTCTTCTGAGCGAGGTGTCTCTTGTGGGGTAGCAGAAGGTTTAGGTGGCTCAGACTCTCTTTGGGACTTGAAAGCTTTTGAATGGATCCCCGAGTCTGACAGACGTGCTCTCTCCCACCTGAGTGACATAAAATTAACATGCAGTCATTTACTCAGCTATTTAGACAAATGCTTTTATCCAAAGCGACACTTATTACAGAGCAAACCATTACACCACAAGTTGTTTGGAGTTGTTTGAAGACTTTCTTATTGGCAGTTCACACATTATTGCAATCAAAAACAGCAAGATGCAGCAAAACGTATAAAACGAAAAGAAGTTTAAGTTTTTTGCACAAGTGCATGGCAGTCATAGACACCTGCCCAGCTCATTTACATTACAAAATTACAAAAGCAACGCAGCAGAACCAATTTTTGAACCAATTTGACCAATACAATTCAACTTACATACCACTATTACTTGCTTTGCATAAACATAATTATCTTCCTGTACTACAGCTGGTGCACATTTCCAAGTAACATACAAACTAACAGGCTCATAATGATGCACTGCAATTTGCTTTGGATGAAAGCGTCATCTAAATACATAAAAGCACAAATTATGACGAAACTGTAACTCATACACCAAACTCCTCACCCGTGTACTGCAGTAACATGAGTTCCTGTGACCTCTGAGCACCCAGCAGCAGTTTGCACGTTTGGCTCGGGTTCTGTGCTGGCAAATCGCAGGCAAACATCGGTGGAGACTCCATCATATGGTCCCATTTCAGCATGGGGACACTGGGAACCCGTTCATCCATGATGTAGGTGGAAAACTGCAGACAAGGAAGTGCTTTATTTCTCTTACACTGCACAGTGAAGGCATCAGATACCAGTAACATTGTGAGTCTTTAAATAAGAAGAGTTTATTTGCAAAAAGAGATAACATAATAAAAAACATGAAAAAAAGGAGTTATCATGTTTTTGTGTTTTATTGTGTTAGTTAGCTGTATTTTTTATTTATGTTTTAACCTAATCAAAATAACCCAACTGCACAAAGACTAAACATGTTTTTTGAAAATTGTTAGAAATGGAGTTATCTGTTTTTGCAAATGAACTCTTCATATACACTAAGGTTCAAAAGGTTTTTTTGATTGAAATGAATACTTATATTGAGCATGGGCACATTAAAGTGATCAAAAGAGACAGTGAAGACATTTATAATGTTACAAAAGACTCCTATTTCAAATAAATTGTTCTTTTGAACTTTCTATTCATCAAAGAATCATGCATCATGGCTTCCACAAAAATATTAAGCAGCAGAACTGTTTTTAACATTGATAATAATAAAAGTTGCCTGAACATCAAATCAGCATATTAAAATAATTTCTGAAAGATCATGTGACACTGAAGACTGGAGTAATGAGGCTGAAAATTCATCTTCAATCAGAGGAATAAATCACATTTTAAAATATATTCAAATACACAATAGTTATTTTAAATTGTAATAATATTTCACAATATTACTGATTTTACTGTATTTTTAAAGAAATAAATGTAGCCCTGATGAGCAAAAGAGACCTTTCAAAAACATTAAAATCTTATCAACCTTAAACCTTCAAACAGTAGTCAAAAACTAGAATACAATGGCACTTAATGATTACTCTATTCATATACAATTGCATTTGTGTACACAAAGGTAGTTCAAAGATTACCACAGAAATACCATGGTAGTGCCAAGGTGCTTTTTGTGGTCAAGATCACAGTGATAAAATACACTCAATAAGGAAACTTTCCACACCACAGCATTAAAGATCAAATCTCTAATTATACTGATACTGATAACATTTCCTGTAAAGAATAAAAAAGGTTCAGTGTTGAATCTTGATCCTGAAGTTCTGTAGGATGGCCTGGAAAAACCACAGGGTGAGCCACCGCTGCCACTCCCTCAGGCTAGTATCTGACCCAAACCCTCTGATGTTATGTGATATGTGACGGCGTTTACCTGGGTATTAATGAGGTGGTGATGGGTGTGGCTTTTACTCAGGTATTTGGCGAGTATCACTCGCTCTCCCGACATACAAGCTGCTGTCCTTCCGACCCGGAACAACGTGTGATTACTATCAGCACTCTGCACAGAGGAAGTGACAAAGATTCATATTAAATTGAGAACCACCTAAATAAAAACACAGAGGAATAAAGAGAAGAATACAGGGGTTAAAGCAAAAAATAAAATCTTTTGACTGAAAATTTTTCCTCAGCCAAACCCCATTCCACAGCCATACCTGTCACACACAGGTTAAGAGCAGTTTTTTCTTCTTGTAATTAGGAGCGCTTGTCCTCCTAATTTAAAAAACATAGGAGCACCTGATCAATAATTACAAATTCTGATCAAAAATTTGCCTTCCTAATATGAGGTGACATTTGATTCCTTAAAGTGGTTTCAGGGGCATTTTTTTTTAGCTTTGTAATGGCATTTTTCTAATTTTATTAAATGTATGCAGTTTCCTAGGATTTTTTTCCAGTTGTGGTGGCAGGACTATTTCTCATGGACCACGCCCCCTCCCCTCCCCTCCCCACCCAAGTTCTACGCTTGCTTTTCTTTTTATGAGCTCTTGTCCTCCTAATTTAACAAATTTAGGAGCATGATCAATAATCAAAAATTCTGATAAAAAATTATCCTTCCTAATACGAGGACTTACAGGGGTATTTTCTTTTTACCTTTGTAACGGCATCATTTTCATCTGTCAAATTCAAAAATGTATGTTTATAAGCTTTTTAAAATTTCTATTTAAAACAATATAATAAGTAGTAGAATAAGACAAATAAGTTACCAATCATGAAATTTGTATTAATTAAAAATTAATTTGTACAGAGGTGGCACAGAAGAACACAAAAGTGGCTTGTAGGTACATTTTCAGATGTTTAATGAGGCTTAGAGGTGACATGAGTGCAATCAAATTCATATATTCATGTGGAGATTAATGTTTTAAATATAACATTTTGAATACAGAAATATTAAATGATTTAAATAACTGAAATTATACACTAAAAATAAAACTAAATCCGCAAGCAGGTGGCGGCAAGTCACTGATTTTATCACTGAATCATTCATTCATTCAATTGATTCAAACTGCTGATTCATTCAGGAATGAAGCAAGTGACTGTCTTTATGAATGGGTAATCATGAATCACTGATTTACTAGATTTGTTAAAAAAAACACTCTCATTGAATAAATGAAACGGCTGAGCTGTTACTATATTTGGAATGATTTTCATTAAAGAAATAGAGCAAAATCAGGCAGTACTTGTTTATTGAACTGTTGTATTAAATCAATATCACATTTGCAAACTCCCTTAATAACTATTAAAAGTTGTCACTCTCCTTATCGCGATCGGTGGGCGCACAGAAAATGAGAGCGAGCGAGTGAGTTCTCAAGACAGCACGTGCAAATGATACATTCCGTCATCTGTCATCGTGTTATAAGCGCGGAACCTGCGGGAATGCGTAGAATTGTTATTATTAGCCGCAATCCTGTGCCAAAATTCATGTTCTGCTCTGTGTTCTCTGCTAATAATCTGACTGTGAATGATGCGAGTGGCGTCACTATGTTGCACTGAGAAGCTGCAGGATGATTTTTGGTGTGCTGGCAGAACAACAACGCGCTACATGTTTCTTTTCCCCTCATTTTTTCCAATTGACGGAAATCCGTCAAAACTCGCTGCTATTAACGGAAATCCGTCGTAGCGACGGATAACTTTAATCCCTGCAACATGTACTAAAGTACAGTAGTAAATTGTTTCTAAGCATGAAAAATATGTATGGATTTCTTTTTCTACACATCCACGATAGACCCCGTTTTTATCTGACACTTCAAATTCTTAAATAGCTCTAGACTCACCCTTTTCCTCTTTGCCTGGAAATTTGAAACGTCAAGGTCTGTGTGATTCAGTGACTGAAAAAATAAAAAAAGTAAAGTTTAAAGACTGTATGGACTGAAAACTCAATTGAAGTGAATTTCAAAGTATTGTAAAGTAAAAACTACTATGACACGGTACTTACAGCTGACAGAGGTGATGAAACTATATATATATATATAATTATTTAATTATTATCATTATTACATCCAATTAATACTTAATAATTAGATTAAAAAATATAATAACACTGAGTTAAAAATAATAATAGTATTTTATAATGCTATTTAATTTTTATTATTATTAAATCCTACTATTATGAACAATATAATTTAATAAAATTAGATAAGACTTAATATTAAATTCTATCATTAATAACAATTATACAATAATAGTACAATAACACCAAAAAAAGATTTGATATCATTATCTAATTATTGCTATTATTAAATCCTATTACACTGAACAATAAGACTTAATACAAATGTGGTAACGAGACTTATTAAATATTATTGGTGTTATTAAATCATCACTAAATTATATTTAATAATTCAATATAAAAATCATAATGTAATTTTAATATTATATGTATATTATCATATTAAGTGGTCTCTCTTCACCTGTCCCACCTCATCCAACCAGCCAAATACACTGACATTTTACATTTATCCCTTTAGCAGATGCTTTTATCCAGCATTAAAGAAGCCAATATTACTCAACATACAATGCCGAATTGAAAGCATAATCAAGATTAGTATCCAAGCTAGTGCAGACAAGAAGAGAAAGAGAACAAGAATTTTTTAAATGTGAGTTACAGGAAGCACCTTTGTTAATGGTTGTGGATTAGTTAGACCTAAGTGTTCACAGAAGAGGTGTGTCTTCAGCTGTATAATATTTATTTTGTCTCAGTAACATCCACTTTTGATTGTGGAATTAATCATTCGTGAGTTATAAACACTACAGGGTATAACGTGCAATAAACTGTATATTTTTACAGTGGACAAAAACCTTTGCATTATGCTGCTTCTTCACTGATTGGAGCTGTTGGTTAGACTATCAAAATGAATGAAATGCACACAGTGCACTCTGACAAGGTGCTAAATGCTTATGAAGGACTCATTTCTATATAGGATATCCATAACCGGGTTTTTTTCAATAATAAGAGGCGTCGCTTTACCCGAATGTCTGTCAGCTCCGCCCCTGTTCTGTCAGCATACACCATCACTCTCGGGTGACAGGAGAACTCACACCATCGCCATGGCGACTTAGCATTGAAGTACAGGTTGGAATCTTCTTCACGGAACTTCTGCAATCTGAAAGAGAACAGAATGTCACAAACCTCTGGACAGGTTACAACATCACACACACACACTGCATCGTGCTGCAGCTTGCATCAGCTCAGCGGACAGACTTATTAACCCGCAAAACAGAGCTTCTGCTTCAGAATCTGGTTTTGAGTGATCATAAACTTTGAGTCAGGAGTGGAAACTGGAGCTTTCATATAGGATTTGTGGTTGAGGTGAATGCAATATGGAAACGAACTTCAATGCATTACATATATTTTGTTGCAATAAACAGCTTTCGGTGGTATTTGTGTTTACGACAAACGCATTTCACAAATGCACTGCAGTTCATTTTAAAATCATATGACTTTATGTTTTATGAAACACGAAACGTGAAATTTTAACTTTGTTTTAAGTGAAAAAGCACCATTAAAACATCTTAACAGTTTGAAATACAAATCATGCACTATTTTCAATACCTTCTGAAGCCAGATGATAATGTTCTGTGATAAACAAACTGTAATTTATGTTTTCATTCATGGAATATCTTGACATTTACACTAGCTTTCAAATAAAAGTCGCACTAAAATATTAAAATTAATTAAACAAAATATTAAAATAAATTAAACAAAAATAAAACATACTAAAGAAAAATGAAATATTTTTTTATTTAATTTATATATAGAGATATTATTTACTTATGTCATGCAGTTGTGTTATTGTTCACTTAAACAAAAAAATATATTTTCAGCTAACTGAAATTAAGCTGAAACAAAACAAATACCAGATAAAAAAAAAAGTTACAATTAAAGAAAGTAACAAAAAGTTACAGCTAGACTGTAAATATTGCCTTGGCAACTACATTTAAATAAATGAAAGTATTAAATGTAAAAAATAAAAATGTAATCTAATTATAAAAAAAAAAAATTTAAATAATAAAAATAACAATACTTAGTAAAATTATTAAAAGTAAAATAAATATAAATTAAACCTAAATGGATTGTTTTTTTATAAAACTAAAAAAACATTTACAAAAGCACATAAAATTACTAAAACTTAAACTTCAATGTAAATAAGTTGAAAACATAAAAAAACTAATTCAAAATTTGAACTATAATATATAAATAACACTGATCTGAGGTGACCATTAACAGATGTCAGAGAACCGTGAACATGCAAACGTGTTGTTAAATTCCTGAAATATTAACTTAATCTCAGGTGACACTTAAAAAAAATAAAAATAAATATATATCTGAGGTCAAAGGGGTTCAAACGAAAACGTTTGGGAATCTCTGAACTATGGCAAAGGGTTTGAAAGTTAAGTTTAAAACACGAGTTGAGTAAATGAAGTTAAGACATTCTCTCGAAGCAGATTAAAAATGCGGACATAAAAACATCTATTACTATACGCTTGGGTACTGGACGAACTCAACTAAAGAACATTTTGTAGAGGAAGCTGATATGATGAAGATGTTAGAGTCGTGTACACTGAGCTCCAAGCACAAGGTGACAGCCAGTGAAGCACATATTGTTCTTAAACACACATACCCTTTTTTCGCAGTCCAAAGATAAGCTGCTCCCCGCTCATTGACCACTGCGAGCTCATTGGGGAAGTGTGGACTGTAGAGGACAAAACATAAGGTTTAGCTACTGTTACAAAGGCCAAAGGCTAAAATACATCATGCAGATCCAGCAAATATCCTAAACCACATTCCTGCTTTTCTTAAGACAGCTGCCAAGAAATACATTTAAGATAGACAAGATTAGAAAACAAAATCCACAAAAGCAATAAATATGAAAACTTTCTTATCTAGGATGCTGAAAATGATATATTTTATATATTTAGAACTAGGGCTAGGCGATATGGTGAAAAATATCTTTTCCATATCATACCTTGAGAATGAACCCAAACATAACATGTGCACAATTAAACTCTAGTAAGATAACTTTTGATTTAGGGCCTCAAGAAATCAATTTGATTTTTTCCTAAATTCTGTGTTTTCCATTATATTTTTCTGGATTCTGTGTTTTATGACTTTACACAAATTTATCATCAAAAGTGGTGCCTAATGAACTAAAACTTTAACAATTTAACCAAACGTTTAAAATGTAGTCAAATGAAAATATAACATTTAATCTACAACAAAACACCTGCTTTTTTATACACACTGCACAACAAAACTATAAATTAAAACATGGATGAAAATATATCTTGACTATACTTTTGAGAAGCATGTGAGATCTTTCAAACACACCTGACGGTGATGCAGGAGAAGCGATCTTTTGTCTGGATGACGTCCATTAACAGTGGCTTTGTTTTGTCTCCTAGCAGCCAAACAGCACAGAAATAATCCGACCGCACAGCCACGTTACCTGCACACAGATTTTACACTCTTGACATGAAATCCTTTTCATAAGTGATTACGATTGTTTGAGTTTTATTGGGAGTTCCAGACATGTTATCAAAAATGCAATACTCTTTAGGCTTGTGTATTGACTCTTCCTCAATGTATGGTTTGTTCTCAGCCCATGCATTTCTCAGATCTCACCTACATCCTCCATATTGGCCGAACTGATCTGTCTGACAGTTCCATTCAAATAATAGACAAAAGGTTGGGAGTCCATGACAAAACTAGGAGGCTTGTCATCACTGAACTGTTGCACCACCCTGTGGAGATCTGAGGAACGGCAGTAAAGGAAATACTGTGAGATGACAACACTTTAACATTTCCAAAAAGATTTAAAAACTGGGTGTCTAGAGATTTTAACACCAAATGCAAGACTTCAATCCTTTTTGAAGACCTGCAGAAACTAAATGAACATTTTAATATAGAACTTAAAATTAAACTCAAAATAAATCTCTAAATCGCTATGATGATAATATTTTAATGAAAGATCTTTGACTGAGCAACCCAGAAAGAAGCCTCAAGAGTTAGTCATTAAAAACACTAGGTATATTTACTGTGCAACAAAAATACCAATAATATTCAGTGTAAAAACTCTGTATATAATGGGGACTTTTAATTATAAACAAACCCAAAACACATTTGGGACTCTTATTTTAAAATGTATACTCCCCAGGTCAATCAACAATATGAAGGAGCTAAAATATGCACTAATAATGCTGAAATAAAATAAAATATTAATATTAGATGAAAAAAATTAACTGAAAAAATAGAAATGTAGCCTTGGCAGCTAGTCTAAAATAAGCTAAAGTTGAAATAAGAGAACCGTGTGTTAAATTGAAATATTATCCTAGAATCATGGGGTTTTCAAGAAAATATTTTTAGTCAAAATGATTCATTGTTTGCGAACCGCTCTGAAACCGTGAGCCTATAGAGTACGTTTTGACTTTGAAAGTTTCTTTTATTAAATCATCGCCTTTTGAAGTTTAATAATCACATTAGGCTGCATCGTGATTCCTGTTCTTCCGCCCTCAAATTTAAAGAAATATTTCCCCCAAAAATGAAAACTGTCATTTACTCACCCTTGAGTTGTTCTAAACCTATATGAGTTTCTTTCTTCTGATGAACACAAAAGATATTTTAAAGAATATTGGTAACCAAACAGTAGTTGCCGGTAGCCATTGACTTCCATAGTGTTTTTTCCATACTGTGGAAGTGGCTACCCTCAGCTTTTTGGTATAGTATAGTATATATTTATTTAATGCCGTGTCAGCATCTAAGGCTATTTACATGGCAAAAACAAAACCAGCAAACAAACAAACAAACAAGTTTTATTACACAAGATTTTTTACATTCAGCTGTTTGGTTACCATAGATTTGGAACAACTTGAGGGCGAGTAAGTGACAGAATCTACATTTCTGGATCAACTGTCCCGTTAAGATCTCTTAAAATGATAATAAAGAATTTTGTTTTACCATTTAAGGTATTTTTATGACTTTAAATTTGAACTGAATTTATGAATGAATGCCTGGTCTTGCAAATCTCACTTCTATGATGCTGAAGTGTTGTATTAGATCATTGACCCCTTAATAAAGTTCATCACCATGGCAACAAACAAACTAAGACATATGACAACTGCGATAGAGGATACTGAGTTTGTCCATTGCGTCTCCGCTGGGATAGATCAGACAGCCATCGCTGTACCCCCGGGACTCGTGTAAGGGCACGTATCCCAGAGCGCCCCCTGTGGCGTCTGCACAGAACCGCTGCTGCTCCCGCCGAGACGTCAGCTCCTCATGGAGGAGCGAGGCCAGGAGAGATGGAGGAACATCGCTCACAATATCACCGACAATATGGTGCAAATGACGGATCTTCCTCGAGGAAAACGCGACCTCACACCTAACGGATAGAAAAGCACATCTGAGGTTTGATTTTGAGTATTTTTAGGCATTATAAAACTAAATGTCACCATATACATTATTTATTCCTCAGACTTCAACCATTTGTTTTTTTGTAATTGTAAAACACTAATATTTGATTCAGATAAAAGAAAAATCGTACCTTTTATATTTTAAGCCCTCTATGAAGTTCCTGGCCCAGCGCATTGACATAACATCCTGATTGACAAACAAGAACAGAAGACAACGATTACAAAACCACTAGAAAACATAAAAAGAAAATGAATTCTGACCACAACCAACACACATCGGGACTCTCTCACCTTTGGCTGTTTCTTTTTGAAAGATAAGTTGTCCTGAAGCAAATGTCCCATCGTGGAGAACGCATCCATACAGTGATGCTGGTAAAAATACTGCATCTGAAGGGAAAACACAGAGAAAACTGCTTTTTGTACTATATACAAACATTCCACTGACACTGAAATAAAAAGTCACTTTAAAACAAAAATGACAAAACCCAAAGTTTTTTTTTTTTTTATGTAACACTACTTCATCAACTTACATGCTCTGGAAAATCCATTGGATCTGGAAGAACACCAGATGAGACTTCGGCATCTTGGAAAAGTAAGAGAAAAAAAAAAAGAAAAAAAGGGAAAAAAAATAAAACAAACAAATATGCAATTATTTCACATTAAAACATTTTTTTAGATCAAGTAACACTTTTTTGCAGTGTGACATTACAATTAAACATTACCTTTATTTCTCAAGTGTTATTGTTAATGAAAACAATTAATTGACTAGAAGCTCACAAAATTAGAAAATAAAATTAGATAAAAAAAACAAACTATTAAAATAATTCAAAATGTTGCTATGGAAACTAACCAAAATATAATTTACAATAAAAAACTAAAAACCACCAAGACTGAAAATAAAATGGCAGAAATGATATGATCTTATGAATTATATTTTTAAATAGAAATTATATTTCTACATATATACATTTCTTAATATAAATATATACTTAATATACTTAATTTTGTTAATTGACATGAAGCGCAAATAAAATGAAAAACTAAATATTAGATAAAAACCAACTTGAATCAAAAATACTGCCTTGGCTACTAACTAAAACAAAATTAGTTTATATTAAAATATTAAAATTATCAAAAATAAAAATAAAACCAAAATAAAATACTAATAACCACCAAGACTGAAAAAAAATATAAACAGTTTTAAATATAAATGATATTTCTACATATATAATCTTCTTAATATAAACACTTTATTCTGTGAATCGATACAAAGCTCAAATAAAATTAAATAAAAAAAGATAGAAAAAATTTAATGTTAAACAAGATCACATTACAATACTAAAATCACAAAACGTAAAATAAAACTTGTGTGACCTTATAAATGATTTTCCTTAACAGAACACACACAATTAAAAACTGAAATATAATTTAAAGCTTAATAGAAATCAACAGCACATTAGAAAATCACTAAAACATACAATTAAAATGCACAAAGCCAATTAAAAATATTATTAAATGACAATTTTAAACATAAAATAATTAAATTAAACTGCCATTCTCATTAGTAAAACAACCCTGATTTACTTCATTAAATTCACTTTTATCAAAGAGTGACTTAAAATAAAAAAAATGGCCAAAATACACAGACTATATATTTAACAGTACAAAGCAAACACACTACATTAAAGCAAAAACTGCATTTTAGATTCTGGGATTTGAAGATGTTTGATTTGAAATTTGAGCCCATCAACTGATTAAAACTCAGAGCATTAAATAATAATGACGTTTACCTTCACATGGTGGAATTAAAGGGGTAACCGCTGGTTTGACCGGCACCCATTCCTCACCACTCAGAGTGTGCTGGGATTCAAACACATGCTGGATCGATGGCTGATCACCATCACACTGTAAATTCACAATAAACAATACAGGTAAGTCATGACACAGTTTCACAATTACAGGCTGCTGAATGTGAAATATAACATGAAACTGTAGATGAGAAATACACTTCTATATCTTCTTGAACATCTATTAAGCCCTATTCGCACAGGATTAGTATTACCTGGCGACCTCCAGTCATTTGTAATAATTGTTATCTTAATCCCGTGTGAATCGGAATCTCTGTGATTTGGCCAGCATTTGGTCGTATATCCTTTTTCGAGGTTTTTGTTTCATGTGCGCCTTTTTATCCATCTTTCGTGAAGAATGGAGCTGCGTTGAAGTGTTTGATAGTATTCTGGGTGCTGTCATATCGCTACACCATACAATACTGAATTCTAACCGGACCACAGAACAGGACTCTCGAAGCCTTGACATCGTATCCGGGAGATACATTCTCTTTTACTGCTTTGCTCCTGACACATTTGTGCATCCTAATAACTTAGATTTTCTGTCTTTTTATTCTTGCTCAGAATATTTTGCACGAGACGATCATCATTATTACATAACTCTACTAAAGGAATTATTGCATGCCATAAAAAATAAAATCCTGATGCATTCAAAAAAGGGGGTTTACAAATAAAATACTACATTTGTGACACTGGACCACAAAACCAGTCATAAGTGGCACGGAAATATTTGTAGCAATAGCCAACAATACAACGTATGGGTCAAAATGATCGATTTTGTAAAGATATTTTAAAGTAGTAAGATATTATAAAGATATTTTAAAGTAGTGAGATATTTTGTACATTTCCTACCGTAAGTATACCCAATCACAACTTAACGATTTGATTAGTAATATGCATTGCTAAGAACTTCATCTGGACAACTTTAAAGGCAATTTTCTCAATATTTTGATTTTTTTTGCACCCTCAGATTCCAGATTTTCAAATAGTTGTATCTCAGCCAAATATTGTTCTATCCTAACAAACCATACATCAGCGGAAAGCTTAATTATTCATCTTTCAGATGATGTATAGACCTCAATTTAAAAAAAATGACCCTTATGACTGGTTTTATGCTCCAGGGTCACATTTAGGAATCAAGAACGTTTAGATATTTTTGTTAAACTTATATGCATTGTATTGTGTGCGTTACAAACCATTATTTTCATTATCATTACGATGTGTATCGTCTTACCGGGCCAGCATTGACAGCAAACACGCGCTCGTATGAACCCCAGCCTCCATAAGTATGCTTCGGCTTTACTTCAGGCGGTCCGTCCAGATAAAAGTGTGGGAAAAGCTGGTTGGGAAATTTGCTGTCCATGGTGGTGTCTTTCCCCGGCCCTGAAAATCAGACGAGCCCGGGCATGTTCTCGTGTGTCCGGGAGTCCACATGCGCTCTGACGGCTGCCATGATTCAGTGCAGTGAGAATGTCATTCTAAGATCGTAATATGTCGAAAATGCCGTTCTAATAAAAACAAATACTGTAAATATTAGCACGTGTTTATGAAAAAACGTGGCTAGCATACGACCGCGTGGCAGCTAATAAACCGTCTCACGCGGCGCCTCAGCTGATCAACGTGAGGGAAGCCAGACACAATACACGAGACGCTTCAAAACGCCCGCCACCGCACAACCTTTCAAAATAAAAGCACTTTAAACATTTCAAAATAAAACTACTACTATGTAAATAGTGCAATTTTATAAATAAAAAAGTAAATAAAAAAATAAAATATGAATAAACAACCAAATAAGAGTGAATAAATAAGCAAATACACAAGTAAATAAACAAAATATGAATAAAGAAACAAGCAAACAAATAAATTAATGACAAAAATAAATAAATGAAAATCATTTTAAAATGAATACAAACAAAAATATGAACGAATAATTAAACAAGTGAACAAATAATATATTAATAAAGGACACAAACAAATAAATACATATCAATAAATAAACAAATAATGACAAAAAATTAATAATAATTTAAAAATTAATACAAATAAAAAGATGAATAAATAAATAAATAACACATTAAAAAGGAAACAAACATATATATACAAACATAAATATATATTAATAAAGAAACAAGCAAACAAATAAATTAATGACAAAAATAAATAAATGAAAATCATTTTAAAATGAATACAAACAAAAATATGAACGAATAATTAAACAAGTGAACAAATAATATATTAATAAAGGAAACAAACAAATAAATAGATATCAATAAATAAAAAATAAACAAATAATGACAATAATAAATTAATAAAATAATAAAAAAATGTATACAAACAAAAAGATGAACAAATAAATAAATAACATTAAAAATGAAACAAACAAACAAACATATACAGGTGCATCTCAATAAATTAGAATGTCGTGGAAAAGTTCATTTATTTCAGTAATTCAACTCAAATTGTGAAACTCGTGTATTAAATAAATTCAATGCACACAGACTGTAGTTTAGTTTAGTAGATTAAGTCTTTGGTTCTTTTAATTGTGATGTTTTTTGCTCACATTTAACAAAAACCCACCAATTCACTATCTCAACAAATTAGAATATGGTGACATGCCAATCAGCTAAACATTTTTAGTGAATTGTTGGCCTTCTGGAAAGTATGTTCATTTACTGTACATGTACTCAATACTTGGTAGGGGCTCCTTTTGCTTTAATTACTGCCTCAATTCGGCGTGGCATGGAGGTGATCAGTTTGTGGCACTGCTGAGGTGGTATGGAAGACCAGGTTTCTTTGACAGTGGCCTTCAACTCATCTGCATTTTTTGGTCTCTTGTTTCTC